CAGTTTTAGGTAAAGATGACCTGCTCCCCCTGCTCTATAATCCAGTTTTAGGCTAAAATGACCTGCTCCCCCTGCTCTATAATCCAGTTTTAGGTTAAGATAACCTGCTCTCCCTGCTGTATAGCCCAGTTTAAGGCTAATTAAGGTAATTAGCCCAAATAAGCCCAAATTTAGGCCAGACTAACTTCCAACTTAGTCCAGACTAACCTTCCCCAGTGAGTCCCCAGGTTCTGTCCGATCTGACCCATGAGGTGTGCGGGGCCGTGCTCCCAGCGGCATGCGTAGGCCCAGGCTTCTGCACTCCTCTCCAGCTCCGTGTCCCAGACCTGCAATATAGTTGACTATGCCTGTTACCCAGTGTGCATCCAGCTGGTCATATGCTCAAAACCCCTTCCATACTCTGGCTCATAATCTCCCCTGAGTCAATTATAACAAGATGTTTGCTAAACTTGTGACACCTGCAAGCTGAATATCCCCATACTATTAGCCCCATCCATCTTGCATGCTACTTTTAATCAATAGAAATGATTTAATTGGATAGAAAACAGTAATGCATATGAATTATTAAACAACAGTTTATGCTGTGTTAGCTGATGCTCTTACCCAGAGCTTCCTACCACTCTAGCAATATGTAAAACACTCTGGACAAACAACAATTAACTATATAAGCAATATTTTCAAATAAAGAACAAAACTGGAAACCTACCATTAACTTAAGTCCTTAACTAGGCCTATAAAAATACTACAAACAGAATAACTCCATAACCCGTATATTAATGTGCATTGAAAAATCTCTAGAGCTCCATTTAACTGTTCCTTCTTTCAGTGTCACCACCTTTGGTCAGCTGGCTGGCGTGAGATTTTCAATCGAGACAAGTCTGCACATATATTTACATGTATGTAACAGTTTTATTACCTGGAAAATTGTCTGTAGGGTTTGCAAACTACCCCAACACTTTTGATGAAGCTAATTTTAGTTTTACAATGGAATAATATAAATTTGCTGCAAGATTTCTGGCGTGAGTGTGAGAATCAGAAAGCGTGAGTGTGAGAATCAGAAAGCGTGAGTGTGAAAATCAGAAAACGTGAGTGTGAGAATCAGAAAACGTGTGAGAATCAGAAAGCGTGAGTGTGAGAATCAGAAAGCGTGAGTGTGAAAATCAGAAAACGTGAGTGTGAGAATCAGAAAACGTGAGTGTCACGCCAGATGCATGAGACTTGGCAACCTTGCTCTTCTGCCGTAAGCCTATGCCGTACTCTGCCCCAGAGGCAAATTAGTCTTGAGTTTTTGCGTATGAATGTTTAATTGTGTTCTCACCACATCTGTTTAAACTTTGTCTACCACTCTAGCAGGATAGTACCAAACACACGGGAGATGTAATGTTTGTATCTTTGCATATTTTTCTTCTTCTGTTAGGCTACTTTGTGCTGCTTCATTTGCCAGTGAAACAAGTGGGAGACTCCAGTGTGAAAAGAAACCCGGCTATCATTAAGTCTCAAAGTAGGAATAGTCCATTACAGCTGGGACGGGGGGGCAACTTTGTCTATCCTGATAACTGGCACTAAAAATGCTAATAACAGACATGTTGCTATAATTGAAATGATCCATAAATGTAGCTTTCGTAAATCCTGTCTTCATGAGGCCCCTAGTTGTCGGGGGCCCCCAAGTGACTGCCTACCCCCCCAGATCCTAATGAAATGACACATCCTCGTTTCCCCTCACCATGTGCTCCATGTTGGAAGCCTGTGGGTAAACCTGGCCCCTAAGTTTGTTGTGCAGATCTAGGATCAGCCGCATGTCGCTCTCTGTGATGGCCCTCCGCCCCCGTGACCTGGGCATCTCCGCCTCCCTGTCCAAGGCGGAGGACTTCTCCAGAATCTCCTCCAGCAGAGTGATATTGTGAAGAACCACGGGAGCCACGCTGTGGGAGAAGGCCAGCAGGACCAGTGCGCTGAGCCAGCCTGGGGGCACTCCTCTCATGGTGAGGAGGCTCCGTCCTGCCAAGACCTCCTCTAACATAAAGTCGGCCTCAAGACTCTTGGAAAAAAAGAAAGAGAAAGAAGCAGTCTGATTGGCTACTGCTTCGACCTGTGTGAAGTCGGGTAAATAAGGAGAGTAAATATTGTACATGGGAGCTAAAGTGAACCTCTGTGGCCTGTAGGAGAAAATCAATGCCGGAGTTTTCATACGGCAAATAAAAAGGGCTTGTGGGGATGATTTATTGTCAAATTACGAATGACACTGTCTCATTTATACAGTGAAACACAGTGAAACACAGTGAAACACCCCCCTCTCACTGTAACCGGAATCAATGACAGCTGATCAACGCTCCCAGCCAATTATATGAAATGAGTATGACAGACCTATGAATTCCCAGTACGCTGACATTAACTGGAAATTACATCAGTAATAAGTGTAACCAGTAGACCTTAGAATCCAGTTGCGTAGCCAGGACTTATCACATTGCCATGTCTGTGCGGAATATTTCTCATAATTCAGCTCATGCATATTAAGCACTGAGGAAATTTTTATCTGAACCACAGACAGGACAATCTAATAAAATTACATAAGCTGAGATTTTTTTTCTTCAGCTAAGAATTGGCTCTTATCAATTAAGGTACAGCTCCAATCTTTACTGACTTTTATGCAGCCAACTGTGGTAGATCCATGGTATATAGAGTAGTTTTATTTTACATGCCACAGATCTATTTTACATGCCACAGATCTACATATAGGTTTTCCAGTAATTCTCCCCTTTGCGCAGGCTTCAGTGCGCAGAGAAAATCACATGGAAGTTTCCATTTAAGAAATGCAAACCATGCAAAGATATTAGCATGCAGCCGAAGTATAGTGACTGAGATGCACACTCACCTCAGCAGCGGAGCAGGTCGTCCTTAGCTGTGTTCCAAAAGCGTTCCTCCATCTCCATTTATTTTATTTCTGAGCAGAATTTTATGCAAAATTAAAGTTTTGATCTTCTCTCCAATATAAAATTAATTTACTCTCAACGTATCTGAGATTATAAGCAACACATTCACTTATACTCTGGTCTTTAGAAAACACTTTGTAGCTCTCAGGATTTCCATCTTTGAAACAAGAATTTACTGCACAGACCCTACAAATCACTTTCTAAGGTCACATCCACTTAGGATCTTTGCACAGCTATTTCACATAACCTTGTTAGATTTGCCGTTGCGTTTCAGCGCATCTCTAAGCCTCACGCGTCTTTTTACGGACGCTGGAGCCGGTGAGGGTCTCGCAGCTCAAACCACAGGATCACCCAGATCCTGCATCTTCCACTTTTATCCTAAATTGGAATTCCGTGATGCATGACGTTCCCAACCACTCCTCTCCCCGTGCCAGGAATGTTTATCCCCCAGGTCAGGTTTCATTTTCGAGGTCCTCACTCACCGTACTCGGGGGAAGGCGAGCAGGCAAAGAGAAGCATGGCCTTGAGTTACAGCTTGAGTCTTTTGCTCTCACCCCAATGACCTGCTGCCCCCCCCCCCCCCACCACCAGGGGACAGGCCTATACTGTATGTCAAAGAGCACTTTCATCACGGAGGCCCGTCGCGTGCATGCATGCGCATTCACAGGCAGCA